TCTCTCTCTCTCTCACACACACACACTCTCTCTCTCTCTCACACACACACACTCTCTCTCTCTCTCACACACACACACTCTCTCTCTCTCTCACACACACACACTCTCTCTCTCTCTCACACACACACACTCTCTCTCTCTCTCACACACACACACTCTCTCTCTCTCTCACACACACACACTCTCTCTCTCTCTCACACACACACACTCTCTCTCTCTCTCACACACACACACTCTCTCTCTCTCTCACACACACACACTCTCTCTCTCTCTCACACACACACACTCTCTCTCTCTCTCACACACACACACTCTCTCTCTCTCTCACACACACACACTCTCTCTCTCTCTCACACACACACACTCTCTCTCTCTCTCACACACACACACTCTCTCTCTCTCTCACACACACACACTCTCTCTCTCTCTCACACACACACACTCTCTCTCTCTCTCACACACACACACTCTCTCTCTCTCTCACACACACACACTCTCTCTCTCTCTCACACACACACACTCTCTCTCTCTCTCACACACACACACTCTCTCTCTCTCTCACACACACACACTCTCTCTCTCTCTCACACACACACACTCTCTCTCTCTCTCACACACACACACTCTCTCTCTCTCTCACACACACACACTCTCTCTCTCTCTCACACACACACACTCTCTCTCTCTCTCACACACACACACTCTCTCTCTCTCTCACACACACACACTCTCTCACTCACTCACTCACTCACACACACACACACACATCATCAGTGAAGATCACACATGCGCCGATCGATCGATTGATTCATATGATGCTGTGGATGAAAGTATTGATCCGTGTGTTTGCTGACATGTTAGTGGAAGACAGATCTGGAGAAGAGGCGGAGTCACTCAGATTAGCACAATGATGCACACTGCTAGTGATTCATTTACATTCAACATCTGACAATTCACAAGCTCTTATTGTGTATTCATTTATGAAAATATGGCAATATTTATGCAGATGACATATATCGCAAATATATGTGAATATGCAACTTGCACATTAAAAAGAAGCTCCTCATACTGCAGGCCATAAAAAAAATGCAAATTAAAATAATGTATTTTAAAATAAAAAGAATCAGAATAAATTACTTAAAATTAAATTATAAAAATGTAAATTTAAAGTAAGTATTTTTAAATAAAACAACCAAAATATACATTTGCTAAAAAGTAATTAAATGATAAAAAAAAATATATATATATATATATAATAATTTGTAAATAAAAAGCAATCAAAATAAAATTCTTTTCAAAACTTCACACACAAATCCAAGAATTGCACACACAATGCAAAATGCATCTCTTGCAAAACGAAGCGCTGCATTCAGAATATCACAAACGCATCTCAAGAGCATATGTGTTACATAGAGATGTGTGCTGTGTTTTACAAAAAGTGTTTTATGAAATTTAAAACTGAGTCCAAGGCTGAGTATTAGTGTATGGTTTTGTAGAGTTGGTGTGTGCTTCTGCTGTTTGAGTGTCAGCTTTCACAAACTGTGTGACAAGGAAAGATTTTGTGTGCAAGCAGCTGAAAAACAACTGTAATTAATCTACTTAATTTGTTCATTGTAAAATTTAAAAAATTGGGTGTAGAAACAATTTTCATTCAGAAGTTACAAGCAAGCTCTACAACTAATCATATACAAAGCAATGACAAGTAATGCATTGAAGTAGTTGTTTTTTTGTTTGTTTTTGTAAAACATATTCTATATCTGTCACAGCATCTACATCATTTGTGGCCAGAATGTTTTTATGCATAAGCATAATGTTCCACATACACTCTTCAAACTAAAGCTGCTTAGAAGGTGCGATGCCACAGAAGAAGCATTCAGTCAAGAACATCTCGTTCTTAGCTTCTTATAATCTGAAGAACCTTCTTTCACCACAAAGAAGCTTTTGTGAAACAGAGAGGTTAAAGGTTCTTTATGGAAGCATTTAGACAGAAAGGTTCTTCCGTGGCATCACCGTGAAGCAGCTTTGTTTGTAAGCGTGTATGCGTCAGGCACCACAAGCACATACTGTTAAATAAGTGAGGATCCTGGTGATTTCTGTGTATCTTGATATGATTTCAGACGTCAGAAGATTCACTTCAGATGAGGATTCCTGGACGTCCGGCGATCAGCTGAACACATGCACAACAGATCCATCGACAGCAGCGTGTGATTAAATGTGCTTCTGTTCTACAAGCCCATGAAGCTGTGTTTGTGTTTCAGATCACGAGCAGAGCTGAGAGCTGGCGTGTCTGTGAGCGCACATGAGGAAGAGGAAGAGGAAGAGGATACAGTGATCTATTTCAGTCCTGCGATGGATAGATGACCAGACACACATCTGAAGCGGTCAGATATTTAGAGTAATACTGTACATCCATACAGTGCTGGCCAAAATGATTAGAACACTAGTATTCTCAGCAGCTAAAAATGGTTTTAAGTCAGTTATTTCTATCTTCTGCTGGAGTGTGTCAGGAGGAAATATCAGTTTGTGTCTGCATTAATTGTAATAATGCAGCGAGATATATGTTTGTGCTGCACACAGAGCTCTGATCTGATCATCATCAGTCTGTCTGGAGTCACATGAAGAAACAGAACACACTGAGACTCAATCCAGAAGAGCTGAAGCTTCAAGTAAATATCGGACTATGACTATTGAGCTCCAAAAAGGACAAAACGCCAATAAAAGAACATTTTCAATGCAGCAAATCAATATGAAATCTTGAGTTTTGACCTCCAAAAAAATGTGTTCCAGTGCAGTCTGAAAAAAAAGTTGTAGAATTTACTTTATTACATTCAATAATTATTAATAATAAACAAATAAAACAACAAATAAGTACAAAGAAAAGGCAAGTAACTGAAATAGCGTGAAATGTAGAAGTATAAAGACTGAAATAGCATTAAAATGATGGAAAGTGACAATAAAGACAGTTACAAAAGATTTCTATTTCAGATAAATGCTGTTCTTTTGCATTTTCTATTCATCTGTGAATCTTGAAAAATAAAATGTATCACGGTTTCCGCAAAATATTCAGCAGCACAACTGTTTCATTACAACATTAAAATAAATGTCTTCAGTCTGCTGGTCCTGGCCTGGAGACTCCGCAGTCTCCTCCCTGATGGCAGCAGACTGAAGAAGCTGTGTGTCGGGTGGGTGGGATCACCTGCAATGCAGAGGGCTTTGCGGGTGAGACGGGTGTTGTAGATGTCCTGGAGGGAGGGGAGAGGAGAGAAGATAGGAAGACTGAAATGAAAAGTAGATTTTTTGCCAGTGTGAGTGACTGACTCAGCTCATCTCTATGAACTGTACTCTTACTGTAAAGAGTTCGTGACGGTCTGCTCGTGTTCCTCAGATAACAGCACACGGGTCTGAGATCAAGTGCTGCTGCTGAGTACATGACTTTCATCCTCTTTCCCAGATAACAGGGAACGCTCTCGGAATGTTCTAGAACAGACTTATGAACAAACACTCTTCCAGCAGAATGTTCATTTGGCTTCAATAATGTTTCACACAAAATGTTGTTTATGTATTGTTGATAGCACCTTTTAATTTTGAAACGTTTTAGTTGGACGTTCGTGTAACAGTTTTTAAATGTTACTTGTTTTAGAACATTAGTAGCATTCCCATAACGTTAGAACATTTCAAATGGAACGTTCCCTTAACATTCTTAACATCTTTTCATAGCTTAATGGGGATTTTAGCACAACATTCTTCAGCACTAAAGTTGGGTTGAAGTCTCTGTAGTGAGTGTGACTGATGAAGAAATGTGTTTCCTGCTCATCTCGACCCATCCTGACAAACCCGTGAGTAACCCGCATTACTGTAACCTTTACACAAGACACCTGCAGAACAAGCATCCAGCAGCACGCAGCACGGGATCGGAATGTTCTGTGTCAGGGACAGGGCTGGAATCTCTCTCCACATTCCTCCTCCCACAACATCTCACACACTCAGATATGAAGTGATTCATAACTTCAGCAAACCATCACAGATTCCTGTGAGCGTGTGACGAGCACGCAGCACGGGATCGGAATGTTCTGTGTCAGGGACAGGGCTGGAATCTCTCCACATTCCTCCTCCCACAACATCTCACACACTCAGATATGAAGTGATTCATAACTTCAGCAAACCATCACAGATTCCTGTGAGCGTGTGACGAGATGATGATGATGATGATGATGATGATGATGGACACTAGGCCGTCCTGATTCATCAGAGCTCACGCGGACTGTGCTCAGAGATGAAAACACTCGAACCCATCACAGCCTCGCTGACAGACCATCAGGAATGAATCATGGGTTCATAGCAACATCCCCTCCTTCACAGAACTGAGCCCACACAGTATATCCATCATCCAGATAACATAAATATAAATAACAAAGCCAAAAGACATCAAAATATTTTTCATAATCCATTCATAATCCTGTATATATATATATATATATATATATATATGTGTGTGTGTGTGTGTGTGTGT